GATCTTATGGAAGATCCAGGTACCAGCACCCTCCAAAAGGTCTCCTTTGGAGGGTTGTTAGGCCCTAAGAGGTCTCAATTGGTGACCTGTTGGAAGATCCAGGTACATGTACCGGCTTGGGTATGTCACAGTGGATAATGAGGCTTCGCTCGCAGGCCTTTCACGAAACGAGTGATCATAAACGACGGGCAACGGGACCACCATTCTCAGAGAGCACCCGGAGAAGCCCCCCAACCTCAAACTTCAAGTTGCAGTTCTTGCCGCATTTGCTCCAAAAGCCCTTCCAAGCGTGCCACGATCCTGAGCTCGAAAAAGTCGCAATGGATCTGATCAAAGCTTCAGCATACGACTCAGCGACTAGAGTAGGAGCAAGAGTAGAAGCCCTAGGGATCCACATGCCTTCTCAGAAGGTACTTTGGCCCTCCAAGCCTACATAAACAGTCTCCAATCACCGTACCTGACAAGGTACGACTGGATCCCTAGGGAAGTAGAAGTAGAAGTAGTACCCTAAGGATCCTTGGACCCTCCTCAGAAGGGGTCGAACCCTCTAAAACAAGGGTTTGTACCCTCATGTATCCTCAAAACCCTTGTTTTTGAGGGTGCGGATCCTTAGGGTAGTACTTTTGTTTGTTGTTGTAAATTGTATATCATGGACAGCACGACACTACAAAAACAGTGGACTGGTAGGGGATCCTCTCCTGTGATCTCCTAAGCCATGCTTCCCTGGCTACGGAGGGTTGAAGGAGCCGAGCCGAGCACGCAAAGAGATGCTTCGACCCGAACTCGAGCATCCAAGAGACTGTGCCCGCTGTTGAGCGTCCTTGCTCGGCGAGTCTTTGACGCGTTTGCTGGACTTCGCCTGGGCTGCGACATCTCCAAAGCCCCATACTGAGCCAGTGCGCTGTTGGAAGAGCTCCAACACCGTCACGAGCCGGTGAGCTGCATATGGGGGCATCATTTACAGTAATTAAGACTGGAGTGTGTGAGTATGCGTGATACAAGCCAAATCATAACCAGATTTAACGTACTGTTCCCCCAACTTTGCATCAGCAATATTTTATGTGTGATGCAAGGTCCTCCCGAGACAATGGCGGGCATCTCGTTGATCAAGGGTTCTGCAATTAATCACAGCGTCTCCTTCCTTATGCCTGATTGACAAATTTAACGACGAGAGATCGTTGACAAACCACAAAAAATAGACCCCCCATGCTTGAAGTCACTGCAAACGCCCCCCGCAAAAGACATCTAAACCATCAAACACTCAAGCCCAGTTTCTCATCCAAAACTCCATCTCTATCCAACCATCCCCACCCCAAAAAGAAAAACACTGGTCGGAACTCTTCAGGTCCCACCGTGCCCTTCTCCTTCCGGTGCCTCCAGCTTCAGCGTCAGTGCCATGATCTTCTGATCCCTCTCGGACAACTTGGCCAACAGCTGCCGCACCTCGTCGGACGTGGTCCCGGAAACGACACGCGAGCAAGCCATGACTTGGATTGGCTGGTTCTGGAACCGGAGCATATTCTAAAATAGTCCCCAGGTTTGGGGATTTACCCAGTTGGGGGAAATAAACAAAATCACCTAATCCTTATATGCAAAACCAGCAAATGGGACTGGAGGATTTGCCTGAGTGGTTTGCTCAGATGTTTTTTGACGGTTTTATGTGAATATTCCTGTCTTATGGATTGTTAGAGATTGGTACAGTAATATAGTTTGAAACAAATCTATGGATGTATAAGTCTTAACATTCGGGGATTGTGCTGGTGAAACATTGAGGTAATGAGTAAGAGGAAGACATTATTCCGGCAAGAGACCCCAAACAGTGTGTGCGATGTCTAGAGGTGTAGCAAACACCGGTGCTTAACACCTACTGTAAGAACCCCTCGTGTGTCCGTTCCCCAAACAATGGTGCTGGTCATCAACAGGTCGAACGACAACCAGCACTTGTTGCACTGCCTTTGGTTTCCGCCTGCAGACTTTGGTCAACAAGAATCAAAAGTCTAAAGTGATCAAACGATATCAAAAGTCGTTTCAGGGTCGATGGCACAAACCCTAACATGTCTGGCCCAAACAAACCACCTCTTGGGGATTGTGCCGTCTACTCGGTTTGTGCCGATCATTTAATCTGACACCGCTGTATATTGCAGAATGCAATGATGTTCCGCTTTGAAGTCACTAATTTAAGATGGAAGCAAACCTGGCGGGTGGGATCACAAACAGCAGGAGGCTTGTCAGCAGGTTGGTGAGTGGGGGTGGGTCCTGTAGGCCATCTATATCTTTTCAATCTTAAGGCCTAAGTCAATCGCAGCTGTCCATTGCAGCTGTCAAGGCGACCAGTTTAGGAAAGAAACACATTGTTGGGCTCCCAGAAAGGCCAGTTTAGGCTATTCAAGACAACAGCGGGAGGTTGGAAATCCCTTGTGGGGGGGGTCGTCTTCAATGAATGGCCGGGAACTCCATTGGCACAGGTGAGTGCCACATGCTAAACGTGCAAAACATGGCTGAACTTTCCAACCCTACGGATCTAAGATGATCTAAGTACCTTCTCAGAAGGCACCTGGACCCTCCTGGCACCCATCCCAGTCCCACCTTCTATGTATGGAACCAAGAGGTTAAACCCACCCCAGGGCTCCAAAGGTTTCAGTGGTTGAACCTTCCCTGGCACCCGGGCCCCTCGGCCCCCCGGCCCCTCGGCCCCCCCAAGCTCCATTCTTAGAGTTTTGGAAGCCCCAGGAGCCACCCAAAATCGGGAACCAAGTCAGGACCCTCCCCAGGATGGACCTTCGAATATCATCCATCCCTAAGGATCCAGTCATACCCTCTGAGGTGGACTGGGCTGGGTGGGGTCCCCCGACCACCTCTCCGAAGGAAGGGCGGTCCCGGCGCCTTCTTCTTCGCCTTATCACATCGGTCCCTCTCCTTGGCCAGCTCGGCCTCCTCGCTTCACGGCCCGAGGGCCCAGCCCAGTGGGAGTTCAAGACCCTGACCTGACCACCTCCAGTCATTGAGTCATACCGAACCGGAGCGGTTCGGTATGACTGGACGTACCTCCATGGCACCCGGGCACCCGTCGTCCCACCGTACCGAAGCGGTTCGGAACGACTGGAGGCCTAGGTGTTTCCATGCCGCAGAGTTCGGAACGGCCGAGGAGTCAACGAGAACTACGACTAACAACTAAGGCATGATCGAACCCAAATTCCATCAGAAGCCACTGATCACTCTGTCCACGTGACAGCCAACATGTGAACTCTTGCCAACATGTGGGGCCTTGGAATTCCGACTGCCCGACTTTAGGATGGGTCAATACCTTACGTAGAAGGTACTACGGCTAAGGTACAAGTGAAACAGGGCCACATGGGTCAGCAACACATGACACCAGCCAGCAGCCACTGTGCTACTGTGCTACTCTGCGCATCACGATTTCGTGGAGAACTCTCCCACACGCGGTCTACTAATTTAATTTATTTCTGACCCTGACCCCCTTCAGTTTCTCTGGAACATGGAGGTTCACCTTCTTCCATCTAAATCTAATGATTCGTCATCTTTAGAGGGGCAATCTGAGAAACCCCATTCCTTTGCAGGTGATGCACTGCCGAATCCTTTGCAGGGGTATGGGCGGGACCTGTAACGGGCGAACTCATATCACGAGGGTAGGAGCGTCGTAGCGCGGGTAGGATGATCGTTGATCAATGTCTTTTAGATGCTGCGAGACACAAACCAGCTCTTGGGGATTGCCATCTGCTCGGTCCTTGTTTCTAGTTGCTGCGAGATCCAAAAACATGTGGCAGAATCCAATGATGCTCCGCTTTGAAGTCACTCACATCAGAAGTGGACCTCGCGGGTGGGATAACAATTAAAAAGAACAGCAGGAGGTTGGTCCATGAGCAGGTTGGTGAGTGGGGGTGGGTCCTGTCGTTAATTCTCTTTTCAGTTTTAAGTTTTAAGGTCATCTAAGTCGATCGCAGCTGTCCATCCAAGTGCTTCGTGGGGTGCCGCCACTCCAAAAAATAAACACTCCCTAGGCTCCAAGTACCTTCTGAGAAGGTGGGACTGGGGTGGGTGCCAGGAGGGTCCAGATTCTGAGGAGCTACTTGGAGCCCTAAGGGCCCTAGGGAGTCTTTTCCAGTCCACTCACGGGGTATATGTTGTCTATTGCTCCGGAGCGCCCACACCGTCGGCCTTGTGAATGAGCAATCGTTCGAGCTCGCGCACTCGCTGCTCCATGAGGCCCGAGCGCAGATGGCATGAGCAAATGGCAGGTGTAAACAGGAAGAGCCATGGGTTCAAAAGCTTGAAGGGTTTGTTGGAAAGGATGGCATTGACCAACACCAGTGGGGGGAAGCAAGTCGCATTACATCAGGTTTTCACGGCTATGCCATATCGGAATCTATGCATGGGTGCCATGATTCTTTACTTGTGATTTTGCATAGGTCAACCCTTCTCTTAATGGTCTTGGAAGGCTAGGGTAGCTACGCACTGCTACGCAACGACTCAAGAACCTGCTCGCTGCTGTGTGTTTGGTACACTCGAGGGCATGTCTTCACATCCTTGGGCTTGTGGCCCGAGCCAAGCCTCACATGTTGCAGGTCAAAGCTAGACTACACCCAAAACATGGCACTTGAAAATCATGTCCCCTAAGAATCAAGGACCCTCAAAGGTGAAGGCTTTGAGTCCAAACCCCTGCTATGCAGGGTCCAATCCCTCCATAGGAGGGTCCAATGATTCTTAGGGTCACATGTATTACGTATGATCTCTCCAAAGGGGCGAGATGAACCGCATGAGCTGGAGAGCTTGTGAGATCTCGTGGGCTTGGTCTTCACTTCCGAAATCTGCACCCTGAACTCCAGTTGGACACGCCCCATACACTTGTAAACATGCATTTCAGAGCAAAATCCTATATATCTCAACCTCAACAGATCTCTATAGTATTCCAGGCACCGCATCTCTTCATCTGAAGCGTCTGAAAGGGTTTCTTGGCCACAAAAACGACACGTAAAAGCCACCTTCGCTCAAGGCTGTCAAGGACTGCAGCAAGGGAATCTCGTGCTCCAGTGCCCTCTGCTGACCTGACCGCCCGATACGACGGGTTCCAGCGCGTTCCGCTGGAAGACCTTCGGTACCGGTCTCGCTGACTGGCAAAGTGGCCATTCAGGCCAGGGCTGGATACAATGTTTCTATATGTTTCTGCTCTTCTCAACCATATACCTGCAACGTCAAGTGGTGCAATCGAACGGAATGGACTAAACATGGTCCATAGAGCTCGCAATTGCCTCTCACAGGACTAGCTGGGGTGTCTCCAAAATGCATTTCGAATGCACAGGCAGTGCATAATATATGACAGACTGCATGGCTCATCATAGCTGCTTTTTTGTGTTAGGTGGTCTTAGTGGCTTAATTGGTTGTTCCAGAACAAGGGATTTCGACAGGTTACCACTTGCTACGCTGGCCACACCTCCTGCGACCCAGCTAGGCCACCGGCATTCCATGAGCAAGGCACTGTAACCTCGTGGCGGGAGGTGCGTTCGATGTGCCGAGAGGTGCGTGGGCATCCGGCACGGACGGTCCTTGGGATCTGTTCCACATGCATGATACAGCCCTTAGAGTCCAGTCGACTATCAAAAGAATGGTCTGACGAATGGGGAGCTGAGTTGGGGAACTTCCTGCCGGTCAAAAGATCGTCGAACTGGACTTCTAGGGTTTCGGTGGTTTTCAGATGTTTTGAAGGGTCAATGGAAGTCACGGAAAGAGAGATTAGCTTGAGTTGAGAGTCACTCTAAGGGTCAATGTAAATCAATCATCCAGTTGAAGAAGTTCGTCTCGATTCGCTGCTTTCCCGTCGTCCATCGTTCCCGGGCCCAGAGAGCAGCGCTGGACTCGCGGCGACGGCTCCGCTCAGCATCCAGCTGGCCACGTCTGGCTGTAAGGATTGCTGGTGCATCTGCTCCTGAAGCATGAGATCCATCCCCACCCCGGCACCATATATGGAGTCTATATATGGGCATGCTTCCCACCTGAACAAAAAGCGGCCGCCGGAGTGGGGTGAAGAACATCCGCTGGTGAAAAGCGGATAGAAGTATTTCGGGTGAAAAGGCAGCTCACTATTTTGAAGCGAACTTCTTCACAGACCTCCAAGTCGCTTAGATCATACAGACTCCAAACACCAAAACGCCGCGTCCCACCCGCGCAGGCGCGGCGGTCGCCGTGTGCAAAGAAGGACGAACCATCCACGCCTGGAGGTGCAAGGCCATCTGCCATTCGGAGGCTTGAACGCAGGTCAGGAGGACCTCACCTTCGAACACTGAGGAGGCCGAGGCAGGTCGATTAGGCCTTCGACTGCAGACTTGGTGAAGCAGAAACACTTGCATGATCACCTGGAAATATTTAGAAATACCTATAGAACTGAGGGCCCCTGAAAGAGTGAGAATGGGAGATTGGGACAAGACTTGCATAATCACCTCCCTAAGAATCATTGGACCCTTTGATGGAGGGATTGGACCTTGCATAGCAGGGGTTTGGACCCTCAAAACCTTCACCTTTGAGGGTCCTCGATTCTTAGGGCTGGAAATAAATTAGAAATAAAAGAACTCATGTGTGAGTTATAGATAAAGACGGACACATCGCACAGCGGTGACCTTAAAATCAGGTCCTGAGGCCGCTAATACACCACCCATGCCCTTTGCTCCTAGTAGCTTCTTGTTCCTAGTAGTAAGCCCATGTGCTATTAGTAGCGTCCTTGCTCCTAGTAGTGATGCCCGTTGTTACTAGTCAGGTCAGGAGGTTTAGAGACCCAATGGAATTACATGGCATGTTCCAGCGAATTTAATGGATGGTGCTGGTATACGTTGATAGTCCATTGCCCTTTCATGAACTCGATCTATGTAGTTGAACACATCGAGAATGATGCTCGAAGAATCTCGAAGAAATCTAGTCTTTTCCACCAGAATCTTCAACAAACTTGAAGAAAAACCGCCAGCAAACTACCCACCAGAGTCACACAGTCCTCTCAGTCCTGTCAGAGACGCACAGTCCTCTCAGAGTCTCCCCAGATTTACCCTGGAAAATCCGTCAGCCAACCTTTCCACCTGCCCTAAGGATCATTAGCCCCTGCTATGGAGGGTTTTGACCCTGCATAGCAGGGGTTTGGACCCGCAAAACCTTCACCTTTGAGGGTCCTTGATCCTTAGGGTGTTGATTCTTTTTTGCGAAGAAATTCACCAAATGTACAAACGAGGTGACCTGCCAACACTTCCAGGGTAGTTCACCTTCACCTCCTGCAGCTGCGGACAAGTGTTGTTTTCCTTGTTCTTCCGATGAGGTCACCGGTAGGTCGAAAAAGCCCAGTCCGGTCGTCCCTTTTTGAGGTCCCGGACGGTAGCTCAAGGCATCAGCCCTTGAAGGCAACAAGTGGGACGGGTATAACGAGTATCAGAACGGAGAAGGGAGGTTTTTCAGGAGGACCAGTGGAGGACCCGTGTAATTGTCTATATCGTATTTCTTGGATTTGCTTGTTTCGGAACCTAGGAGAAAACAAACAAGCATCTTCACCAGGTTCGTGAATTCACCATAGCTAGGAAACATAGTTAATATTAAACATATATATATATATAAGAATCAACTGGTCAGCAAAACCAGGGTTTTGGGTGGGTATCCAGGGCATGGAAGGGGACATGTTCCAAACAAATCGCGTACCAGTGGAGCCCTAGAGGTCCAAAATGGTCCAAGGACCTCATTCTTTCGGGTCGTGCTTAAGCAGTACTCGAATGACTCGATGAGGTTAAGAACTAGACGGGTTGAACACGTGGTCCTTGGAGTGATTGGGGGTGAGGCTGGGGTGCTTCGGATGGATTCTGACGGAGGTAACGCCGTTTCCCTGGAAAACAAAGGTTCACTTTCTACCTGGTTTTGTGTAGTGGGGAAACCACTCAAAAGAGAAGGTCAAAGGTTATCCATTGTCTGCCAGGGGCCCCCACAAACCATCAAATAATTGGTTTTCCCTAGCAACAAACATTGTTTTTGTATGTGAAAACCTTTGTTTTTTTTCATGGTTTTGGGGGCCTCTGGTGTGTATAGATTCATAGTGGGATCAATTCCGACAGGTCACCAATGGAGACCTGTGAGAGCCAACCCTCAACTGACCTGTTTGAGGGTACTGGTACCAGTTCAAAAACCACCTGTCCCTAGGGCTCCAACCATATCCTCAGAAAGTGGTTAGACCTCCCCAAACCCACCCTAACCACCTTCTCAGGAGGTAGTTGGAGCCCTAGGGTGTATACCACCAACAGTGGCTTCTTTTGACATGTTTGTTCCATCAGTTATTTTCTGATCGAACTTTAGAGCCATGTGTGCAAATAATTCACCTTTTTGAAATGAACATAGCCCACAATCCTCACACCTGTTATGGAAGGGAATCATCCCAAATGATTCACCCCAACTGTGAATGAGACAAACTTGGATAGAGGGGTGCTAACAATGAGGTGAGGGGTGCCCATTATCTACTCACTTAGGGACTAAACACCACCCCGTCTTGTGACTCCTGGTAGGTCTCTCACATTCACTGGATTTGTCGGCATTCTGATCCAAGGGCCCACATTGATCGCCAGTGGTCGAGTAAGGTGTCCCACCACCTGAAACATCAAGAACCATTCCCAGGGACAACCTCCCATTAACCAGGGCCCACTGATGATGATGATGATGATGATGAAGATGATGATGAAGATGAAGATGATGATGATATGGGATACCAGGGGCCCTCAGTTGACCATAGAAAAATGTTTTCACATGCAAACAAATGTGTTTTGCTAGTGGGGCCCCTGGTAGATTCTTTTGAACTTCACCTTCACTTTGCTTCAAACACCTGAACCCCAAATCACCACGGTGGTCTTTTGCGATGTTTTGTGTTTCACCGGTCAGACCCGCGAAGCCGCGCGGCCGTACGACGACCGGAGGACCGTCCGCCGGGTGTGCGGACGTCACCGAGATGGTCGGCATGGTGGACAAAAGCTCCAGGGATTGGCTCCAAGCGCCGCCTGGAAGAATCGGTGCGATCGGTTTGATATCGGTCGAAAGCGTTTGGACCGGACCTGGAAGTCGACCCGGACAGGTGCCTCCGATGGGTCCTATAGACAGTTGTGCCTGAGGAAGGCTTTTTTCGGGGGTCAGGTCATATGAAATTGTCTTCAAGGTACTTTGGAGGGTCCAGGTGCTAAGTCAAGTCATCCTTCGCAGGGAATCTGGAAGAGGAGGACTGCCCTGGACTAAAGGACTTGCAGGCGAAATGCCACAGAACCCAGAAAAATGCTCGGTCGGAGTGTTTGTGGCCAAATCCTATCCGTTGAGCGGCTCAGGCTGCCACTGCCACTGGGAAACCACTTTTGCAGAGTATGTCAATATAATATCCAGCTGCTTCCAAGGGGTTACCGACGGACAAGCCTACACTGCTTATAGGTCATCATACACCTATTGGACAGTATATAAAGTCAAGTGATGTACATCGGCTTCCAGCAGTGAAACAGTTCATGATGTTCGTGGAAGCCAGCAGGAGGGACGGTTCACAGCAGTTGCCTACCCCCAAGGCGCAGGCACGGCGCGCAGCCCAGTCTTTGAGAATCTAGGAGTTCGTTCTCCCCTAGGCCTCCAGTCGTACCTTCTGAGGTATGGTGGGACTGGGGGCCCGGGTGCCAGGAGGGTCCAGTCATACCTTCGTATCGGAGGTACGACTGGAGGTGTAGGGTCTGTTATAAGCCCCGGGCAAGCCAGGCCAGAGTCCGTTCAAAGGAGTGGATATCATGAGTCTTTTTAGGGAGTCCGGGTGGCAGGACCCCCTCCCGCCCAAGCCGTTGCCCTGGACCATATAGAGGTTGACATTGGGTATGCAACAGTGGATGATGGTTGGCCTGAAGGTTTGGTTCGGGTCCACGGGCGTTCTGCAGGGTCCAAACCATCCAGTTCGGTGGTCGGGTCCAATGATTCTTAGGGGTGATAATCTATTTTTCCGACTGTTACAAGTAAGGGGATAAACCCAAGGTTAATCTTTGTCCACCTCTTGCTTTTGAGTGGGGGTCTCCAATGCAGGGCTTCCCAGCTGAGTCACCTACTTCCTGGGTGGGTTCCTCCTCTCACCCCCCGACTTAACTCCTGTGTTTCTGAACCGCCTCGAGTCAAAGCTGCCAAGAGCGAGTTGCCTCACATGCCAGGAGCGGACGGACCAAAAAACAATGCGGAACTCCGGCCCCCAACCATGAGTCCGGATCGTCGACCGAGTCGGACGTCAAGACTCCGCCGCCTTTCCCTTGCTCGTCGAGAGTTCGCCCAAAGGACAGCTCACCCAACTGAACAAGCTGAACAAAACCCCAGACACTCCTCCATGTATGCTCGGGACTGCCATATTTGCCTATCTTGGGGTGGTGGCAGGGAGGTCGGTCGGCCAATCTCTCTCGCCAGTCCTTCGGCGTCGCCTGGAACCTTCACATCAACAGGGTGCCCTCGTCTGGGCATCGTCACATGCATAGAAAACATCGTCAAATACCTGGGCCGCTATTGGGGTGTCTAATAATAGCTCCTTAGAGGGAGGTGATTCGGGGCGTCCATTCACCACCCCAAACAGGGGCCCTGGTACGTATATAATATATAATGCATATCAACACCTTCTCTCTCTCTCTCTCTTTAATGGCTGCCGAGAACCAAAGAAACCCAGCTTCATGTTCAGTCGACCCATCTCCGAGCCTATGGGGCCCTAGTGGAACCATTCAATGCTTGGGGCTACCGATCTTGAACGACCTGAAACCGACGGAGAAGACTCGTACCGAAAGGACAATGGGACATGACCTCCTTTGACTGAGGGTTTAAGACTTCCAAACTGACTATAGCTATAAACCATTTGGAGCGGCCAGCTATATTAACATACCCGCATCACCCGTTTCTCGAACCCTCCAGTCGTCTGACGACGAACGACCATCACTCTAGTGGCCCGAGGCGCAGGTGATGACATTGGGCCTGACGACCACGAGCGAGGCGCGGCTTCGCGCGCGAGCGCGCGCGGATGCAGCGAGCGAGTCGGAAGTTCCGTCCCACTGCGGAGGAACCAATGACGACGTCATTTTCCACCTGGTTCTTCAGTTCGTGACCGAACTTGACATCCTGGTTTGAGGTCACGAACAGGCCTGTAACAGGTCACAATCGGGGACTCCAAAAAGGTCACGAACTGAAGAAGCTGGCACGCATCTACTGCACTTCACTCGGAGAAAATGGGTTGGTCGAAACGACGACGTTTCGTTGGTCGAAACGACTTCAGGAGGACGTCATCCATCAGGATTTGACCGAGGCGTACCCTCCCACTTGGACTGGGACGAGTACTTCAAATCGTTCTCCTTCGGAGCCCTCCCACTTCATGAACGAATTCTGCCACATCACTCTCATCATCTCTCATCATTCTCTCTCTCTCTCTCTCTCTCTGGGTGGGTTTGGTCACACACCTTCTCAACGACTCCCAAAACGGCAAGATCTGGGTTTCGGGACTGGAGCTTGTAACCATGGAGCTCCTGGAAGAGCTGTAGCCTGTCAGATGCAGCTAGGCTTGGGAGAGCTGTAGCCTGTGAGATTTCGACGTGATTTTTGTTGTTGCTCTGGCATCCAACTGCTTTGCTCTGAGAAGTGGCAAACAGACTTCTTTCACTCTATAGGGCACAGGTTTCGAACCCTCCATGACCCCTGTTTGCAGGGAAATACCACCACTGGGCGCCCAACGTTTGCACATAAACTCCATGACTGCTCCAGTCCGCGCTGTCCGAAAAGCTGCACGTGGGGGAGGCAACGAAAAAGGACTCCCTTCAGAGTTCAGCAGCTCCTTCTCCAAACAATTGTGAACCAATTTGGAGCGAAACGAACTTGGACAACATTTTCCTGAGAAACCCAAGGATTCCAGGACCCAAAGAGACCTTACAGGATTACAGGACCTTAAAGTCGAACGGCTTGGCTCCTTCAACTTCTGCACGTGCCAAAGCATCCGACCCCAGCGGGAACAGTGCCTACACCGGAGTGGAACACATCTTCGATCCCGCGGCCACCAACAGAGGTGGGTCAGGACTCGACCCGTTCGACTCTCACAGGCCAGGGTACCCCAGGTGTTCCGGGTCCGAACGTTCAGGTCACTGACGGAAGGCGATACTCAGTGAAGTCATCAGGGCTGAATGGCATCCCCAAAGGAAGACGGTTTTGTCCCCTCTATCCTCAACAGTGTTGTTCTTCTCCACTTGTCATGTTTTTCTTTCTTTCAGGGAGGTTCAGTTCATCCGCGAACAATCTCCCACATCGGATCAGGATCGAATCACCCCCTCTAAGTCCCAAGACTTCATGTTACTGGGGATGGTCACACAACACCTGTACTTGAGGAGGTAGAAGGCACAAAATAACTGGTTTGGACCTGGGTCAGACTGGACGTACGTATACGTGTTGATGTTGGACCGGCACTACTTCTCTCTTCCTCCAACTGTCCCCCGATCGACTTGCAGGACCTGGGTCGGACCTTTCTGCTGCTACACCTCCAGACCTCACACACACTGTTTGGGCGGGGAGATACCTGACCCCTGTTTTGATAGGAAAGTTTGGCCATATTTTGGGTGGTTGGTGGTCCAAAAAAATAAATAGAGGTCATTCAGGTTCTAGGTATATACCTGGACCCTCCAAAGTACCTTAGAAAATGGGACATGACCCCTAAAAAACAGGTACTCGTACCCATTTTCCGAGGTACTTTGAGACTCCAGGTATAGTTATTTTCTTAATTTTCGGCCGCGCGTCGTCATGTACTTCTCCGGACGAGCCCAGGGACTCGCCAGGGTGTGAACATGCCAAGCGGCGCTCGTGGCCACTGAGAGCCCTGGGCGCAAGCATTCATCGCCGCCTGGGTGGCCCAAACAAACCGACCGAACATTGTCGACAAAAACATGTCATTTCGCTGGGTTTCACTTGAACAATATGTGGGATCAATCATCTCAAGTCCTATAGGGATCCAGTCGGACCTTCTCAGGTACGGTGAGCAGGGAGGCATGTAGGTGCCAGGAGAGTCCAGTCGTACCATCTGAGAAAATAGAAATTCCTGAAAAGCGCCACCCAGTTCCGCCGAAACGACTCCGCGTTGAACACGTCTTGGCAGCAGCGGCGCATTGCCAGTGATGCCGTCCGCCGTGGGTGTGTCAGGGTTCTGCAGGTCCGCCAAAAGCCTGCAAGGAGATGTACTGATAAATGATTAAGTTGATTGTTGTTTATTTTTGCTGATGTTTATCATGTGCTCTGGATCTACCACTTGCCTTTGGTCCTCTCTTTCTCTCTATATATACAGTTCTGTTTCTATTTATTGAATATGTGACATACTGACATAATATATTGTAGAACATGGTAGAACTATTGATATATTCTATATAATGACGCAGTCAAAGTTAGAACATCAATTGTTCAAAATGAAAAAATAACATTTTAGAACATACCTTGCAAGGGTATGTAAGAACATGCAATAACAAGAGAAGCGTATTTTAGAACATAGCTCTTAGCAACATCCATGATAGGGTTACCAAATGTTCTAAGTATTTACCAGATGTTCTAAGAGTATGTTCTAAATTACTGTTCCTCCCAAGGTCCCCCCCTCTCCCAGGTCCTTTTTCTCCGGTTTTCCCCTTTCCAGCTCATATATATATATATACATGCACCCCTTATGTATACATCTTCATGTGGGGATGGTTGTGGTGCATGTTCTATGTTCTTTGTTCTGCAGCTGAGCGGCTGATTGAATGTGTGTGTTTTTTTGGCATGATGGTCTAAGTTTCCAAAACCACATGGCACAGCGACATCACCTTTCCAAAGCTTTAGTGGTTAGTCTAATGAAGAATCACCAATAAAAATTATTGTAAAGAGAAAAAGAAAGAACCCTTTGATCTAGAGGTATTTTCAATTTTTGATATGATTTTATACAAAATCTTCCTGGGTGACTTTTCGGTGTTGAAGCTCTTCCCAGGTTTTCGCACAAAATCTGCACTTCAAGATTCACAAAGCGCTGCGCCTGCCAGGAAATCTGCATTATATATATATATTTTCAGTTAAAACTTACGTATATATATATACACTTTCATGTGTGGATGGTCGTGGTGCATGTTCTATGTTATTGTTCTGCAGCTGAGTAGCATCAAATGCTAAGTGTGCAATGCTTTTTGCAGTGTGTGGCGCATGTTCTAAGTATTTTTGATTTCAGGTATGTTCTTACTTCGAATCGATTTTGCCTGCAAACTCTTTTCTAAAAAAAATCTAACTTTGACTGCGTCATTATGTATATATATAAACAAATTATAATACTGTACTGTATGAAATGCAGTCAGAATATGTTGAAGTTGAACATGGCACATGATGGCACATGCGACACAGGTTCCCACTCAGCATCTCAATCTACGAAGGCCGCTGATGAATGATACAAACCAGCAACAGTGCCGCACATCCACCAAATGTGAATCCAGCTATCAAAATTGGTTGGTGGTTTCAACTCACTTCAATAATGCAAACCAATGGGATCAATCATATCAAGTTAAACATTTTTGAAAAACTTACGACTTACCCGTGCCAAAAATAGATCTCCTTGGTCGACCCTCTTTTCGTGTCAAGCGACTCAATTGTGAAGTCTGCTTGGCTGGGCCTCATGGCTCCCACAAAAAATTGCCAAAACAAATAGAACACACACAGTGTGCCCTCCAGAAACTTCGAAAAATTGAGGATGAAAACCATAGAAAACCCATTGGCCATCTCAAGCTCAGCCCATCGTGGGCTGTAGCAAACTGCAAGCTGAACGAAGTTGAACGACCTGCGATAGTCCAGCTTCGAGGCGTTTCGTCAAAACCCATTCGTCCCTCTAGTCAACCCCCTCACTGCCTCAATGACCAGTCCCAGCGTGAGGCCTTGCCGCAGGCCTCGGGATGGCTGACAAACAGATCGGCGTCGCATGTGCCTGACTGGAAGAGTGGCTTCCACAAACCAGTTTTTGTGTTCTATATAGGGCTCTCTCAACCAGGGCGTGTGGCATCTCCCCCTAACTGCCCTATGCACCTAACTGTAACGATGTCAATTTATGACAGTGGTTCCAAGAGTAGATGGCAGAATCCCTCTGGTGGGTACTAATTAATAACAGCTGCTTCGACAACCCTGCGCATAGATGTTTTCAATTAAGGACAGGTGGGTTGGATCAAGCAGTTGAGGAGCGGCTGCGCAACTTCGGGCACACACGCCTCCAAAGCAGCCTCACTTTGATCAAGTAAAGCCCCAACACACGGTAGGTTGCACTTGCACTCCTTGAGTCCGCAAGCCTGCCAGTGCGACCTATGAGGTCCTCTCCAAGCTCACGGGAAATACGAGGAAATTATGTATTCCGTTGTGGTGTTGATGGATCAGCCAACATGACCTAAATTTCCAGCAAGCACTGTCGAAATGAATGAACCTTTGGCACCATAGCCCAAGCTGCGGTAAGCCAAGGGGCAATACTTGTCCAAGAAAGCCTGGCCACACTGCAGTGAACTCATCAGCAGCATAAATCGGAAGAAGAGAGCCAAGCCATTGCGTCAAGAGAAGGCAGTCAGCCTTGACGTTCGCCCAAGGTGCTGGTTTGGCGTTCAGCAGGGTCCTGCTGAAGCTTCTCAAGAAAGGCGTCTTATGCTCCGATCGTCGACATTCTAAACAATGTGTGCCACTGCACAGGTCAGCAGAGTTGGATTCACCGTCAACGAGAGCTCGACCAAATTGGAAAGGCTGACAAGTGTCGACCCAACGAAATGCCTCAGCAAACCAAGGCGGAGGAGATGCAAGAGATCTCGCTTAAAAGTTAAATTCTTGACGGCCACGCGTGTCCGTGAAGAGCATTCTTTTAGCCCCATGCATCAGCATGGATGTTGGCCTGTGGCACACAAACCCCCATCTTGGTCCAACAGTTCCCAGCCGGTTGTATGTGCAAAGCTGGGCTATTTAAAGCAGATGCCCACGAATTTGCTCCAAAGCCCCACCTCAGCCCTCAAGAGACCTACCGGGATAGTGCAGGGGTGCTCAACAGTCCCGGTCCACGATGTAGCCATCAACCCGGATGTTAGTCAGGACGGCCTTGACCAATGGAATCCCAACAATTTCCTTTGACGGCCCCTTAAGGATCTGGTTTGTCTCCCTGGCTCCAAGCCCCACCACTTCCTCAGACTCAAGCTTTGCAGCCAACGAAGCCATGCTGAGGCGAAGGTGCACTGAGCTGGTAGCTGATGTTCGAGCAAAGGTTGCTACGAATCGGGCCCATGGTTCCAATATCAAAAGAGGTTTCGACTTCGACCGCCTCAGTCAGTCGGCCAAGAGGAAGGGCCAACGAGCTCATGGCCGAAGAGAGAGTACCTCACGCCACCGAAGAAAAGGCAAAGCCTGGAGTCAAAGAGTTTGGGTGCGCATGGGACGTTCTCCTCCATGATCTTGACATGACAGCCGGTGGTCTTGAGGAGACAAGTGCTGCCAACCGCAACAGTAGCGTTTCATGTCAAAACTGTCGAATGGAAAACAGAGTATTACTGTATGTTTTTGAAACATGATGAAATCATGTTCCCATACTACACGAAGACTCAGGTTTGGACCCCTCTATGATTATGTTGTGCCATCTTGGCATCTTGGGGTTGGTGCCATCTACTCGGGAACGACTGTAAATGGCTGTGAGTAGGAAACCCTAGAGCCTAGAGCCCCGAACCCTGGCATTGACCATGTCTGGAAGTCTATTGTGTTCGTTTTCGGTGGTCAGCCAGAAGTGTCCCGACGACCTGCCTGGGACTGCCATATAGGACTGCCGAGAGTGAAAAGGCGACCATGGGGGTCGGCATCGGCAGTCCTATGGTAGTCCCAGACAGGTCGTGCTTTGGCCATGCGAACAGCGAAGAGTGCACAGTGCGGCGCCAAATTGTTCTTTTTTGTGGGAATGAAAAGAGAGGCGTAATGAACTCCGAACTGAAACCACACTATGGGTGTGTTTTTGAGGGATGATGGTCAGTGCTATACGTTCAGTGCTCTGTGGTCGTCCCCTCCTTTCAACCCACCCGGCTGCACGGACTGGTTGAAGAACACCGTCCCGGTCTGTACCGGTCTGGAAACGGTGAAAGTCGTGGCTCGAAAACAGGAGAGACTGGATGGTGGGGTCTGAACCACGGGACGGTGCCAGAGGGGTCTTTCTGGGGCGGCATGTCTCACAAATATGGAGTTTGTGGATATTCTTGATACATGATTACAGTCTGCAATAACTATTTGCCCTAGCCTTCAGTTCGACCATTAAAAGAACGGTTGAGCTGGTGGTGTAGTGTAAAAATCCTTAGTAAAACAATGGTTCTTTGGGATTCAGACCATTAAAAAAAATCGTTGTTTGCAAACATGTTGGCCAACTGCCAACTGGAGTAGGCATTCCCAGGTTAGAAGTCTGCTGCAATGAAGTCCTGGAAATCAAATCAGCTGCACACAAATATGAGGTGAACCCAAACCACCTGCGGGATGGCCGTCTGAAAGGCAGAGTGGGTTGGGGTCTTTGTTTAGGACCATGAGAAATGTAGTTGAATGGACAAGTCTCCACAATCAACAGCCAGCGGAATCCTCTTTCCAGCAAGTCAACCCTCTGAATTATCTATTGATCCCTATCCTATCCGGTCCATGTCGAACATTCTCCTTTGCAAAACACCTGCAGTTCTTCAGGAATCATCAGGAATTCTCAGGCCCCGAGCGCTGATCACAGCATTGTAGGTGATGGTGACCGGCCGAAGGCTGTGCACCTCCAACGGAAGCCCGCTTCTTTGTTTGCGGGGGATCAGGCGATTGAAAAACAACCCCCCCAAACCCGGTTGAAACGCCATGTTGTGTCCGCATCCTTCTCCAGTTTGGTGTCTTGATCTCTCCTCCCAAAAAAACATTGTTTCCCGTTGTTTTCTTTAGATCAACTTTTCCTGCCGGACCCTAGGGTTTTGAGGGACCAAGAGCTGTTTGGAGCGTCTGGGTGGGTGAATTTCATGTCTCATGTCCGCTGTTCCTGCGAGGCTCGCCAACGCGCTGTTTCGTGACGGTGATGCTGCGGCGGTGCCGTTTGGTCCAACTCTCGAAACCCAACACGCCGCACCGTGCAGCCCAAGCATGACCCTTGTGATGATCCGGTCAACTGGCCCACATCTCGGTCAGTTGGTCCCGGAGTCATCACCTCCTTTCCGGGACCTCTGCGACTCCTCCTTTCCTCGGGATCAGACCGCCTCTGTATGGGGTCTGGGCTGTTGGGAGCATCCGGGCAGCACATGGGGTGAAAGGTTTGGGCAATCTTTTTTGCGGGCGGTTCTTGAGAGAATCTGGACATACCATGGCAATCCCGGAGCTTGACCTACCGTGGCAAACAGCAAATACCAGGGTTAGGGGTGGTTAATGGATACCCATTGATACCCCGAATCACCTCTAAGGAGCTGTAACTAGACACCCCAATAGCCCGGGGGCCCTGGCATTGATTTCCTCCAGTGAGTCGCAGTGTCTCATTACCCCGCCTGTTGACGCGGCCACACGTCCATTTGCGCTAACTCCTGGGCGGTCATAGAGACCAAAAGGCGTCCTCTGCGCGACACATGGGGACCTTCAAGTTTACCCGTTTACCCGCAAAAAAACATACGTGTCTGATGGGATCTTGGACGTTTGGGGAATGTTTGGGAAGCAATTGCCGAAAACAAAAGACCTGGAAGACTGCGTGCGACAGCTTACATGGGTAGCATGGGCTTTTCGTCCTCTGGCCTGGAACATGAGGGTGTAGCTCTGGTCTTCCAGCTTTGAGTGGTAACATGAGACCTTGAACATGGCCTGGGAATATTCGGCTGCTGGGGTTCAGCGTCGCAGCAATCCCCCCCAACACAGATTTCTCGCTGCCTCGAGGAAGCACAATGCCTGTTGCCACTTGGCGCCTGCCGGCATACAACTCTTCTGAGGGACTGCATGGCTCAAGTACCAATGTGATGGTGTCTGTATGTCTTCAGGATTCGGGCAAATAGTTCGGAGAGGGCTAAAGTAGTTGCTGACACCCAAACACATATATTCTTAGGCTTCCGGCCATTCAATTGCCAATTCGCCGCTATGAACGCACATAGCGACCAGTTCGGAAACCATCGGAAAACCGGTCTGTGACCATCAATATGTGATGCCATGTTCCCCTGCAAAGAGCGCAGGGGAACCGTTCAAGCTCAAGGATCTTAAGATATCTTAAGATCTTGCAACTCTGGGAACCAACACATATAAATGCAACATGTAGTTTGATTCGAGCAACTTCTCCACCCCACCCCACCAACTCACCAGGTCCACACCGTCCACCCATCTCGCCCTCCCGCCACCCGCGACCTTTTTCCGCCCGCCCGCTTCACCGCCCCTGCGCAGCCGCGCAGCGCCGCGTCGAAGCACCGCACCGTCGGCGCGCGCGCGACGTGCCGCGCCGCCGCGCGCCAGGCGCTGGCGGCGGCACAGGCGCCCGCGGCGGAGGTCCAGGTGATGACCGTGGGGCGCAAGGTGGAGTGAACGAGGCAGCAACAAAGGGTCAATGCCTCGTGAAGAAAAAGAACAGCTTTTTGGTGTATTTTGCATAGACTAGGGATGATCCAGAAGGATGAAAATGATGAAAGGCCTGTGTAGTGGCTGACCAGAACACTCTCTACCCCTAAGCATATCCAGTATACCTCTAGAACACCGCGTGCCTGACATGGAACATGCACACCAAGGCCTGGTGAACCAAACGCCTGAAATCTGAATCTTCGATAGGGATACATGGCCGGACCCAGAAGGAGTTCGGTAAATGAAAAACCGATTTTGGAGGAACAAGTGAAAGTTGCGAAGGATTTGCTTAAGGAACCTGGAAACATATATCATTCCCATATGTGTTCACCAGGTTTGGGGATAGGGCCGTAGGGAAAATACAAAATCACCTGATCAGCAAAAGCCAGGTTGTGATGAAAATTGTTTTTGTTGCATTCAATGGGATGGCCCGGATGGCCGGAGCTGTACGGAGGTCGCTCCTCTCTCAGGTCGCACTGCAGAGAGGTATCCAGTGACCTGAACGTTCGGACCCATCGCGCGGGGTACCCAACTGGGATAGTCGGGTTCGTTGGGTTCTGACCCACCTCTGTTGGTATGATTCTCCACGATTGACAAGAGACTCTGGCCCAGTCCTGGCCGCATTGGTCAATCACTGCATTGTAGCTGATCACATCCGATTTCAAGGCTCTCCTGACAAACTCAAGGCTAGGTGGCGGAAGTTCAAAGTAACTGCGCCCGAGGATGCGTGTTTTTTTTCATTTATGTTGGCATGGCCCGACACGAACATCGTTCACTGACACCAGAGGAAAGCTGGACATTGGTGCAACGACTGGTGCAACGACTGAGGAAAAGCCATCTGACACCCAGGTGCCAAAGCCAAACACTGGTGTCCATGGGATCGCTTTCGGGAGTGTGCTTTCATTGCACTCCTCTGAAAGCTGTCCAGCAAGCCAAGCGCTCGCTGCGTGCCTCCAGCGGCTGTGATGCAAGCATTCCTGGTCCGCAACTGGGGCAACTGCCAGCCACCGGTGCCACCGTTCAACGTGATGTTTTTTGGCAGAGCCCAGCCCACCCAGTCACCATCAGTCAAAGTATGTCAGGGAAACTGCTCAAAGTAAATCATATTGGATATGTCCCCAAAACCTGAACACACACACACACAAACTCAAGAAAAACACACAGAGTCAAGCTCCTTCCTCCTCAACAAGCCTCCCAAACAACACCAGTGGCAAATCACCACCTGCATGAGAACTCACTGTCGCTTTTGGCCAGCATCATGGCCTACGACCGCGTGACCTGTAGTTGCCTTCCTGCATCGGTGGGTCCGGCTCTAACCCCCAAGTGCTTGTCTCTGAGAATGGTAGGAGTTCCACAAGAGAGGTCCCACACCCATGCAGGAGTCGACATGCACCATGACCATGTCCAAAGCTCATCGTCACAGCGCTAGGCACGATCTTCATCTCCTCCATGTCTCGCAGCAGCGCCAAAGAGATCTGCCACATCGCGTCGTGGGCACAGGCGCTGATGGCCGCGTTGTAGAGGATCACCTGGTTCGATGCTGACTAGATGAACGAGAGTGGTGAGGATCACCTCCAAGGGTGGTTTCGTAGCAGTGAAAAGCTCGGATCCAGAAGTTCTGTCAATAAGTCAATTACCAGCCAACCCAACATATAGTATGTAAAGCAACTGCTGCCACCATTGCTAACTAGAAGTGGGTCCTCCTGTGGGTTCAACCCTCCCGTATAAAACAGGGACCATTGTGAAACCATTCCCTACAAGTTCCAAGACCCAGTAAAGCGTGCTATGTTACCTCCTTAAGTAGTGTTTTTTGGTATGACCACGTCCAGTACAAGGAGGTCATCGACCTACTGTAGGGGTTCTAATCACTTACTTGAAGTGAAGAATCCCTCAAGATCCTTTTTGAGGCCCCTACGCACATTCCAAGGTGACGCCAAGCTACGCTCTTCTCAACCTCCTCTCCCTTCGGCACGACGCTTAAAAAAGTCCTTTTTCGGGCGGTGGTTTCAGGGGTGATGACGAATGGTCAATATGCCAGTCCCAAACAGGTCGTGTCTGAGATATCGTCAGGTTCACACGCTTCCCATGTTTCCTCATGGCAAAGGGACGTCCACATCCACCGCCTTCTCCCAAGCATTGGCCAAGAGCAGCACTGCAAATTGCCACTGCGCAGCTTTCTCACATGCACTGGCTGCTGCAGCAAACGAGATCATCGTGGGTAGCAACGCCAACAGGGAAAAGGAAGCCTTAGAGAGGCGGTTTTGTGCCCGAACTCCACGAATGGAGTGCTGAGGGGCTGAGGGGACATAGTCATCCTCACTATGCATACATGAACATGTGGAGAGCCCGAGGATTGTGGTCAGAAGTGAGCATGCTGCATGCTCATATTCTAGCTGTTTGCCTCAGATTCGGGCTCCCTATAAACCATGACGTGTATAGTCTTTGACTCCCAGGGTATATGTTTTAGCCTTTGGGCTACAAACGGGGCCGTGCAAAGGCATCTATGGTCGAACGTCTGTCACAAATGACCTCTCTTGCCGGCCGAATGGCTAGCAAATGCAAAGCCCACTGCCATTGCTCCGATTTCTCGCATGCGCTGATGGCAGCATTGAGCATCACTTCGTCCGGCACAAGACCATGCTGACGGAGCTCATGCAGAATCATGGCAGCCTGGTCGCCATGCGTTCAACTCAGGAAAAAAGGAGTCAGTGGAATAAATTCACGATAAACCATTCCAAGAACTCTATACCATATGGTTACAGTAAAGTGACACCGAGTGAAGGTCATCCCATTGTTTTTATTGTTTTTAGATTGAACGTGGTTGAACATAAAAACAATCTCCGAAACTATCACCCAGCAGCTCCTTGCCACTGACTTCCCATGGCACAGGCATTGATGGCAGCACTGAACCTTGCAGGTCCCACAGGTTCTGTGCTTTGGAGCGATGATTCTCTTCGATGGAAAGCGTCTGACGGTGTCGTGAGTAAACTAAAAGCGTGTCACACGCAACAGTCTCCTTACGTCTCCTTGATCACTTGCGCAAGAGTCGACTTCTAAGTCTAAAGCACCTGAACACCATCATGATCGCCCTAAGGATCCGCACCCTCAAAAACAAGGGTTTTGAGGGTACAAACCCTTGTTATAGAGGGTTCGACCCCTTCCAAAAGGAGGGTCCAATAATCCTTAGGGCAGGAAGAAAAGACCTGCAAGAAAGGATCGACACCCCTGCAAGACCTTTCTAATTAGCCTGTCTATGCCTGTCTGCATGGGCTACTAGCCTGTCAAATACATCGAAGTACTTCCCCTCCAAACTTTGGGCCCTGTGCTCTTCGCTCCGTTTGGCCGTGTGGAATCGCCCGCCAGGGCGCAGCACCACATCTGCAGAGATGTCACGCGCCAGGATCTGCTCCAAGAGCTGTAGGCACGCCTGCCATTCTCCACCAGTCTTCAACACCTCCATCCTCACATCATGCTGGCCGGGCCGTTTAAAAGGATTCACGGCACTACCTGAAATCATCATGGAAGTGGAGAATAGACCCCGTGCGAGATGCTTTTCCTCTACGAAAGAGGTGGTGAACTTCACTTCCATGTTCGTTGCAGGGAAGGTAAGGGTTGTCATGATGAGGTCTGAGAATCCTGCAGCTTCAGCTTCAAACAAACACTCATGCAAAGCCTCCAGCTTTGGTGGATGGATACCAAAGAATATGCATTCCAAGTGGCAAGGTGGTGCAAGTGATTGCATTAGGTTGAATCCTCAGTCGCTGAGAGATTGTTAGGCCTGACTCGGAGGTCGTCGTGGAACTGGGTGGCCGCGACTGCCAACGCGGGTCCTTTCAAATCACGTTCGCAGCTTCCAGAAGCCTCTGAGAATCTACTAGGCCGCCTCTTTGGGTATGATTGTCTGGGTTCGATCCTATTGCCAGGTTTCCGTGGATGATGATGGGGCCTGGTTTCAGGCCGACATCTCTAAACTAGTGATGATTGTTTACTGACTGTTACAGGTAATAGGACAGACCCAATGAATATATCTCATGACCAGGTTTCAGTGTATGATGATCAGTAAAGGCCGACATCTCAAAAAGAGCTCGATCATCTTTTATACCGGTCATGGAGCACACCGTATGGACACCCTATATAGCATGTATGTTACCCTCAAGGAGTATGAACGTAACATGTCCATTTAAACCTGGTGTGTGATGGAACTCGGAGTCTTACCGGTCCTTTTCGCATTGTTAATGAAACACATAACACAAATTATTATACCGACGGACTGGAACTTAGAATGTAGGCGCCGTTTCCAAAATTTTGGCATCGAGAGTTAGCAGCTCTTGGACCCGGGTGGCCGAGACCCGGTCGGTATAAT